GATAGAGCTCAGCAGACTAAAGCTCCTGCTTAGGCAAGTGCAGGGACCACGGTTGGATCCCCAATACCACACGCTGCACCAGCCCCACCCACAGGGCAGGTTGAGCTGGCCACAGAGTCCAGGCACTCTGCGTAGTGAGACCCTGTAACAATCAAGTACATTAAAAAAAAAAAAAAAATTAAAGGTCCCCCAGAGACCAGGTAGCCCGCCAAGATTAGCTCTCCCTCAGCTATTCCAGCCTGGGATCATCCTCCCTAAAGATCCTATAAAGTCTCCTGTCCCCTCTTTATTCACTGCTATCTTGGTCCACTAGACAGCCAGCCTGCTTGATGCCCCCCAATAAATCTACTAGTGTCAGAATACCTGGCCTGGTTGACTGCATGGGTTCACACCTAACAGGTTCAGTCCCAGGTACACCACATACCATGCTGACCCTGGAACCCTGGGCCCACTGAGCCAGCCACCGAGTTCGGCCGTGGTGGTGCAAGCCTGTAATCCCAGCACTGGGGAGGCTGAGACAGGTGGATCACTACAAGTCTGAGCTGTGTAGCAAGACCCTGTACCAAATAAAATTAAAAAAGAAAAAGAAATGTCGCCAGCACCTTTAACACTTTTTTTTTTTTTTTTTTTTTTGCAGAACTGGGAATTGAACTCAGGCCCTTGCGCTTGCCAGGAAAGCGCTTATTCCACTGAGCCATCTCCCCAGCCCCTAACACTTTTTTTAGATAGTGAAAATTGCCTTTTATTTAATATATCTATGTGCATTCAGAATTCTTACACTAGTACAAACATTAAAAGGAAGTATGTATTATAGAAAAAATAAACATGCCAATCCTTTTAAATTATACAAATTTCTCTCTCCTTTTTGGGGTTACAGAGTCTCACTACGTAGCCCTACCTGCAATTCACTACTATCTTCCTGCCTCAACCACCTGAGTGCTGGAATTATGGGCACGTGAGATCAAATTACAATGTACCCTAAGGGGGAATTTACACTTGGACTTTGGTTGGTCACAATGATGCATAATATCACAATCATTTCAATAGTAACGGTATAATAACAAGCAAGTGAACTTTAATAAAATCTGAACATCTTGCAAAAAATAGGTACATTTTAGACAATTAAATTGTACCAATGAGGCAAATATAATTTTTAACATATAAAGTGCAAAAGCCATACAGATGTTTTAAGTATCTCTGCAGGCATCCTTACTGCTGTCTACCAAGCCCAAGAAAGCTGTTCAGTCACATTTTTTTTCTTTTAAAATACACACCTCGACCAGATATACAGTTCAGATGTACAATGCCTGCCTGGCAAGCGCAAGGTCCTGAGTTCCATTCCTGGTACCAAAAATATCCCCACAACTCTGGAAGAAGAAAATAAAATTGTTTTCTGGAAAGAACTGTAAACTGAGTAGTGACTAGCAAATGAAAATATACAGAAGTTAAGCTCTCCAATCAAAGCAAGAGACAATAGCTCAACTGCTCCCCACCCCAAAAAAGTGCACATTTATTTTAAAAGGCAAGAAAGGTTAGGTGAATTACATGCTTGTTATTGTTTGTGTCTGGGTCCACCCCAAAGCCTATGATGGGGGTGGGCTTCTAGAGTCTCTGACTTCATAATGGTTCGATGCTGGGATTAAGTGTGTGAGGGCTACACTTGACCTGGGGGGTGGGGGGGGCAGTCTAAGGGAGGGGAGGAGGCTTTCTCTCTTCCTCCTCTCTTGTTGATTTTATTGTCTTCTTCCACCCTGAACTGTTATCTCAAGACCTACATTCAACTCTGGCCACATCTAGAAGAAGAAAACACCAGGAAAACTGCCACAAACAGAAATATAAACTAAATCACTGGGGGGAGGGAAGGGGAGGGACAGTGGGGGAATGGAGGGGGAGGAAGGAGGAAGAGGTGGGAGGAGGGAGGGAGAAAGGAGGGGCAAGGGAGGAAAGAGGAGGGAGAGAGAGGTGGGAGGAGGTGGGGAGGAGGAAGGAAAGAGGAAGAAGGGAGAGGGGGAGGGAGAGGCAGGGGAAGAGGGAGGAGGAGAGGAGGAAGAGGGGGAGGAAAGGAAGAGGGGAGGAGAGATATCGGAGGAAGGAGGATCATCAGCACAGGAGGGAGGTCAGCAGGCCCACGCCAGCTGCCATTCTTCACTGTCCAAGAGTCTCTTTGTCCTTGTTCACTGGCTTCGTTCTCCTCATCGCCTTCCCCAATTCTCGCAGGTTACAGCAGCAGAGAAAAACACCCCAGTGCTACATGTTAACCCACACTAGTCATGAGGCCGAGACAGACTGGGGCTGGCGCCTGCACCCCGCACCCCGGCAGCTGGTGAGTGGAGGTGTCATCAGGCAGAGTAGACACAGTGGCCAAATGTAGGAGCCAGCAGAGTCCCAGACAAACTGGAGTGGGAGGGAAGAAGTGAACAGGCCTGACCACATCACCGGGAGAGGAGTGGGGAGCTGGGGGCTCCATGTTGGGCCCACAGTCCACGGCTGGGACCGCACATGCACCATGGCGGGATGAACAGGCAACGAGCCCCACGGGTAGGGCCCTCCTGGGCCTGATTAGTGCCCTCATCCGATCCACCCCTTCCACTATGCGAGGACACAGCCCCGAGGAAAGCCTGGGCAACCCCAGATCTGCAGGACCCTGACCGGGGGCTCCTTGGCCCTGGACCCAGGAGGCATGAGTCCCGTGTTTCTAAGTCACCCGCCCAGGCACCTGGCAAGCAGAGGGACAGACTGAGCCAGAGGGCAAGGCCACCCTTCAGGACCCGTAGTGCCATGCAGGCCTGGCCAAACTCAAGGCCAAGAGCAGTACTGAAGCTAAATGGAGACGAAGAAACTGGCAACAGCAGCGACGGCCGAGCTACCAGGGGCTAATTCTGCACCCAACACTACATGCACTTTTCAGCTTCTCACTTATTTCTCAAAATAACCTGCTGTGGCTGCAGCCAGCTCAGGAACAAACTTGAGATCAGGACTCAGTAGGGTCGTGTGGCCCTGGCGGTGGGTATTCTCACCATCCCTGAGAGCAAGGGGTAGCTGCTCCCATCCCACAGGGAAAGGCAGCATCCCACAGGCGAAGATAGTGGGCTTTCTGCAGGATGACCGGGGTGGCCCCATTGATCTGAGCTTACATCCTGAGCACTTGCCACTCTGGGACTCACAGTGGAGCAGGAAACGCCAGCTGGCTGTGGTGGTACACACCTGTGACCCCAGCACTCTGGGAGGCTGAGGCACGAGGATCCCAAGTTCAAGGCCAATTGAACAACTATGTCTCAAACCCTCAGAAAAGGGCTGAAGGGGTCGGCGGTCTAAAGTGCCTGCTTAGGCAAGCCCACGCAAGCGCAGGGACTTCTGACAGATCCTCCGCACCACACACCAGGCCAGTCCCACCTCCAGGATGGACTGAGCCAGCCACAAAAAAAAAAAAAAAAGAAAGAAGAAAGAAAGAAAGAAAGAGAAAAAAAGAAAGAAAGAAAAGAAAAGCCCTGAGGATATGGCTGAGTGCGAAGGCCCTGGGTTCAAACACCAGCGCCACAGAGAAGAAGGCTGAGAGCAGGGAAAGGGAAAGCACGGAAGGAGGGAGAGAGCAGGAGAGGGGAAGGAGGGCTGCGGGGAGGGGCTGCCTCTCTGCTGAGCCAGTACGCGGTTTCTATGTGAGCAGCTTGTTTGGGGCTGGGGATGAGGCCGGACGGGACAGGACAGAGGCGGCACAGGGACCTACCAGCCAGCATCAGGGCGCGGACGCACTCCGAGCGGCCCTGCATGGCAGCTTTCATCAGGGCTGTGAAGCCGAACACGTTTCTCCTCTCCAGGTCCAGGCCGGGGAAGTAGTTCAGCAGGTAGTTGGTGATGGTGGCGTGGCCTGCAACGAGAGCCGCGTGCACGCGTGAGCGCAAGCGCGTGCACGAGAGAGCGCAAGCTGGGGCGGGTGGGGAGGGGGGTGGGGGGGTGCGTGCTGCGCCACCAGGCCCAGCGCCCACCGGATCGAAGCCAGGCTCTGGATGCGGGAAGGCAAAGGACGCCGTGCTGCAGGTTCCAGGTCTCTCCCACGCACATCCTGCAGCTGCCTCCTCTGGACCCCAGGCCCTGGGAGAGGCGGGGCAGCTGGAGCGCAGGAGCGGGAGCCGCTGCCAACTCCCAGCAGGAGCACCGGCAAACTGCTGCAAATGAGCTCAGGCCCCCAACGCTGGGCTTTATTTATACCAGTGAAGGGCACCTGCCTGGGCACACGGATGCCCGTTACCACCAGGCGGCTTGTGCATGTGTTTTTTTCGGTTACACGCACGCTGCCCTCGGCCTGAGCCATGCAGGTGGAGTATTCACTGCAGAAATAGAGTTCCCGCGAGGTCGATCTTTCTCGCCTTGGCAGGGGGATAGGTGTCGGAGCTGTGTCCCCACGTGCGCACACCCGCTCCAGCGAGGACGGTGGTCACTGCACACTGCACGTGCGCATGACACAAATCAAAAGTAAACAGATTTTTAAAAGCAGTACATGGATTTCTCCCTCTGTCACCTTGCTCCTCTAGTAAATAAATAGGCATGCTGTTCCTAAAGCTGTCCTCCACACCCCCTTGCCAGGGCCACAGGATGGCCCCTCACAGGCATCAACTCAGCCTCACCCCTGTGTCACCCCAGGGGACCCCATGGCCCAGAAGGCCCTCCCAACACTGCCCCACCAGCCCTCTCTGTGCCCTGGGTCTCCCTGGAACCCTGCCCTCGGCCTGTGCTGCCCCCGCCCTGCCCATGTCCTGTGAGCAGAGAGGAATCACCCCTGCCAAGTGGCTCTGTCCTCCCAACAACACCCTGGAGACATAGCCACCCAGGCTGGACCCGAAGTTGTCGCTGAGGGACACAGGTCACTCAGGCTGCTGTCCATGACAGAAGAGCAAATCCTGGGACAGGACATGGCTATCCCAACTTCCTAACGAAAGCAAGCCACAGGCCCCGGCTGCTGCCGCTGCTGCTCCTCCTTTCTCCGTTTGCACTCTGCGCTTTGCTGCCGTCATGAAAGGTTGCTCTCTGCCATGTCTTGGAGCCAGACAAGTGTGGACTGAAACCTCCACAAACTGTGAGCTAAATAAGCCTTTCCTTCCTTTGGAAAAAAAAAAAAAAAAAAAAAAGGAATAGCTCTTCAATAGCTTGCCCCAGTTTATTTTCCAGCAGAATAACTGTTTCTGTTTTAACATTGGTATCTTCATTCCACTCTGATAATTTGGTGCATAGTGTAGACCCAGGTCCGGCTTCAGTCTTCTGCCTGAGGACAGCCAGTTTTCCCAGCACCAGATACTGCAGAGGCGAACTCTCCCAGCATGCCTCTGGCCCCCTTGTCAAAGATCCACTGGACAAATATGCCTGGGGTTTGCCTGCGCCCCCTGTTCTGCTCTGCTGATCCACAGGCCTGCTCTTGTGTCCAGACCTCACTGTTTGTAGCACTGTAGCTTTGTAATACACCTAGAAACCCGGGCTCGTAATGCCTCCCGCACCAAGAATCAGCGAACGGGACCATATCAAATTAAAGAACTTCCGCACAGCAAAAGAAACACAGGGCATGGCAGAGGCACCGCAGAAGGGGCAGAAGTGCTCGCCATTGACTCCTCTGACAAACACCAAGCGTCCAGAGTACATAAAGAAGGGACCCGCCTGCCGGCCCGGCCCCGCCCCACCCCGCCCTGGGGTGCGCTGAGATGGTGCTTGAGACTGGACATTGTGGTGGTGGTGTGCACCGGTAATCCCAGCGCCTGGGAAGCTGAATACAGGAGAATCACTACAAGGCCAATCAGTGTAGGGAGACCCTGTAGACCCTATAGACTCTGCACTAACAATAAAAAAGAAAAAGAAGTGAAAAGCATCAGGCCCTCCCCTAGATAAAAGGCTCAACAAACAAAGGACAAGTCAAAAGAACAGATACTCTCAGGAGAAGGACATATGGCCCCTAAATAGATGGAAACACAGTCACCCTCTGTGGCTACTGGACAAATGCAAATGAAAACTACACTGAGATTCCGTCTCACTCCAGAAAGCATGGCTGTCTATCATCCAGAAATCAAGGAGTAAGAAGCGCTGGTGAGGGGTGGGGAGAAAGGACCCCTTCTCCGCTGCGGGGAAGAAGGTAAAGTAGCACAGCCACTGTGGGGAGCGGGAGAGGGGCCTCAGAAGCAGAAGCTAGATGCTGCGTTTGAACTAGCTGCTCTTCTTCCAGCTGTCTTCCTAGTGGAGTTGAAGACATTCCACTTCACAACCCACACGTGCCCATGCTCGTAGTAGCACAATTCCTGATAGCTACAGCGTAAGCGGCCTGTATGTCCAGCGACAGATGAACGGATAAAGAGGCTGACCTTTCCACACCATGAAGCACTACTCTGTCGTAAAGAAGGATAAATTTAAAGCATTTATAGGAAAATGGACGAGCCTCGAGGCCATCCTGTTAGGACAAATCAGTCAGATGCACAAGCTTAAATGTCACATAACCTCTCTTATTTAGAAAACCCAAAGTATAAATGTTTCTTTAAAAGAAAGAAAAAGACAATGTGAGACAGGAAGATAGATCTCTTCGAGGGGACCCAGAGATGGGGGAGGCTTGAAAGAGCCAGGCGTGCGTGTTCGGCCTGTGCGCCTGCTGCAGACATGCACTAACAGAAAACTGGGCAAAGCAGAACACAAAGGAGGAATTCACACTGCAAACAGCCAGCATGCAGGCTCATGGGAAGCAGGCCGGCTTGGGCTGACCCCGGCAGCTCCTGAGTGCACCATGGGCTCACAAGGTCCCAGAGAGAGGAGACAAAGAGGACAGGGTTGCAGAGCCACAGAGCCCAGGGCCAGGGCACTGATGCTGGCCACGGGGCACTGATGCTGGCCACGGGGCACTGATGCTGCCATGGGGCACTGATGCTGGCCACGGGGCACTGATGCTGGCCACGGGGCACTGATGCTGCCATGGGGCACTGATGCTGGCCACGGGGCACTGATGCTGGCCACGGGGCACTGATGCCCCAGCTCTGCCAAGCGGCTGGGCTCTGTCATGTACCAGCGCGGCCATAGTCCGAGCAGAAGAACACAGCAGCGAACCCAGCCAGATGTGCAAAGGAGGCCATGATCTCTGTTTCGCTCTTTCCCACTGTAACTCCTGGGCACTGGTCAGCTGTAGCCAGCGGCTCTGGGCAGAGAAATGTGACTTGCTCATGGCCATGTCCTTAGCAGCTTGTCCATCACAATTTCCCATGGGTGCTTTGTGTCGACACAACCTCAGCGGAGTGGACGGGCAGGGAGAGGGGAGCTCCCGCATTCTGCTCTTAGTCACTGTGGCCCAGTCAGGTCCTCAGCTGGCACAGGGCCTGCTGCTCCCCAGGGGCATCTGTCTAGTGCACTGGACCCTGCTAGCAGCCCTGAGGTCACAGGGCCTCATCCCTTCCTGTGTCCCTGTGGATGCTGCTGAGAGAAGAGGTTTTCAGAGACATAAGGCTGCACCCTGAAGCCTCCAGCCATCACTGTACAGTCACCTGGGTCCCAGGAAGGCAGAGCCACAGAACAAGGCCACCGCAGCAGAGACGCCTCCCTGTAACAGTGAGGCTCCCAGTGCTGGCACAGGGTGGGGTGAGTGGAGCGATGGACAGCCAGCAGGGGCCCAGCCCTCACTGTCCCACCTCTGTACTCCGGCCTCCGCCTCTGTGCACCGGCAGCCAGCCTGGCCCATCACCGGGGCTTCCTCCAGCTGCTCACGCATCTGTGTCCAGGGCCAGCCTGATCTTTGCCAGCTTCTTGGGCCAAAGGCTCTTGGCGTGCCTCCTACCTCATGAGGCTTTATCCTGTAAATTTGTACTTTTTCCCCCATTTCCTTTACTGCCCAATGCAGGAACACTGCTAGTGGGCAATGCCCCCACCAATGCAAGGCCCCAGGGAATCCCTCCACACATTCCCAGCACCCCTCCCTGTCCCCATTCCCCATCTCCCCATCTGGGCCCTCGATAGCTGTCCGTGTCCCTGCTGCCCTCCACCTGGTCTCCACATCACAGCACAAGGACCTGACTTCGAGGCCGGCCTGGACCACAGAGACCTTGTGCGCTCAAAAAAGAGCACAGTTCTCCAAATATTGCCAGCAGAGGGAGCCATCGGCCTTGGAAATGCTACATCCCTCCAACCACACAGAGAGCTGAGCCCCAGAGCCAGGGTCAGAACCAGAGCAGAAAGAGCTGCAGGAGGGGAGCAGGACTGGGGTGCTCCATGACTCAGGGAAACCCAGATATGAAAATAAATTTTAAGAGGAGGAGAGGGGACGCGACAAAGGGCTAGTGCTCCTGCTGCTGCTCTGCTTGGTTTTTAGTTTTTGGAGGTGCAGGGTTTATCTGCACCCCACACACACACACACTCCATAGGCCCCAGACAGGGCTGCATCTCTACTCTGTACCCTACATCGACTCTCCAGAAGGTCAGGCCTTTGCCACAAGCCTACAGAGGAAGAGGGAGACAGCTGCACCCTAATTTGTATCCATCGGTACAAGTCTGTCCTGAGCTGCGCTCCTCACTCTAAGACAGATCCAGGTGTCCCGGCAGACAGTGTCAACAGACCTCCACAGATCTGGGGTGAACAGGCTACATCTCAGCAGCCTGTCACCCCACCACCCGGCCCAGCAACCTGGATTAGCAAGGGCTTTTTAAAAATTTCATTTATTGCCGGAGGTGGCAGTGAGACAGGGTCTCACCTGCTACGTGGTTCAGGCTGGTCTGAAACTCATTGTGTAGCCCAGGCTGGCCTTGAGCTTGCAACGATCCTGCTGTCTTGGCCTCCCTGGCCCTGGGATTACAGGTGAGCACTTCCACACCCGGCCTCCTGGCTCAAAAAAGGGACACCGGCAGGCCTTGTTCCTCTTCCTGACGCCCTGGCACAGTTCCCAGCCGCAAATTGGAGCAGGGACATTGGAGCTGCGGGGGCCACTGGCTCCAAAAGGGCAAAGCCACGTGTGTTTCCGAAGCCACCTCAAGTCCCTACTCTACCCAGCCACTCTGTGAAGCGACACAGGCGTCTCCTTTAGCAGCGTTCGCTGCAGTGAGAGGCTGCTCGCCACTGGTGAAGCCAAGAGCACCAGAGCAGATGGGAGCCTCCTGTGTGAACCAGAGCCACACGTGGACACGAGAGACCCCCATTCCCGCAGCAAGCACTGGGGGCTTCACAGCATGGCATGCACCTCCCTGGCACCAGCCCTGCTGAGAGCGGAAGGCCCTGCACCCTTGGCACAGCCCTGGCCAGCTGCTGCTTCTGCCCCGATCTCCCCAGTCTCCGCTGCACCTTCCCACAGCCCACGCCTCACCACAGCCCCACACATGCACCCTGCAGCCACAACCTGGACTGAAAGATGGGCCCCAGGACCCCCAACCAGTGCAGCATGTGGACACCAATGTCCCTCCCCTCTGTCAGCTCCCACCTGGCTCTGCATAAAGCAAAAAAACAATGAAAAGCAAGCTGAGTTCTCTGCAGGGTGGCGTAAAGAAAAGCGCTCAGCACAGACAATTTCTACACCGCTGCCTGTCCAGAGCTGTGAGCACAAGGGTACGAAGTGCCAGCTGTGGACTCAGGAGTCCGAGGACTTGGAGAGAGCAGCTCTTTTCCTCCCAGGATGGTGGCGCACACCTGTCCTTCCAGAGCTCTGAGAGGCCAAGGCAAGAGAATCACAATTTTGAGCAAAACCTGAGCAACTGAGTAACCTAGGGAGATGCTGTCTCTAAAAGAAAACTAAAAGAACTGTAAGTGAAGCTCATTGGGAAGGTCCTGGGTTCGACATTCAGTAACTCAGAAAGAAAAATAAAGGTCAGCTTATATTCTTGGTCAAGGCCAGTTAATAATCGCAGTCGATTTCAAAGGCCCATGGATAACTTTCTTGTTTTTCTAAAAAGTGTGTGAACACTAAACACTTTCTGTGTGTGAGACGGGGTCTTGTTGACCTTCGTGTGGGGATCTTCTTACCTTGGCCTCCCAAGTATTTGCAATACAGGCATGATCCGCTAGACCCCAGCAATGGGAGGGCGCACGAGGCCCTTGGCCTCAGTGACCTGAAGACACCCACAGTGGGCCCCAGATGCGTCCTTGGACACAGGCTTACACAACCCTGCAATTTAGTGTCACCAGTCACACCGCGCCAGCTGCCAGACAGCAGTTCCTGCTGTTTCCCTCCACCTACAAGCAGAGGGCACTGCTTCCATGACAGGAATCCCTAACACAGGCCACCAGCTTTGTGTACCACACACCACTGGCAGAGGGACACAGCTGCCTGCTCTGAGCCTGCTCTGTCCCTGTCCAAAGCAGGCCCCTTCCCGACCTGAGCCGCCACCTGGTGCCGGAGAGGACGGCCAGCTCTTACCTGCCTGTGCGGCTGTGATTAGAGCCGTGTTCCCCTCGCTGTCCTGCCAGTTGACGTCAACGTGGGGACACTCTGCCAGGGCCACCACAGTGTCCACAAAGCCGTGGTAGCAGGCGACAATAAGGCTGGTCTAGAAACAAGAGGGGAAGTGGGTCAGAGGCCACAGCCGAGCAGGCCAGCAGGGCTGGGGACCCGAGGGGCTCTAGGTCCCGCCATGGCAGGAGAGGTGGCAACCAGGGCCCACAGCCCCTGTCCCCATGATATTAGTGCGCGCACACCACTGGTTCACCCTGCAGCATGGGCGCAGCTGAGGGGCGTGGAGAGGACAGCGCAAGGATGGGGCCTCCCCCAGGAGACAGCCAGGTGCCCGCAGGGCTGGGCAGAAAAGAATCGAGGTGACCCTAAAGTTCCCACCATCAGAGTGTCAGGGGCTAGGAACTGGGGCAGAGATTAGGGGAGAGCTGGGGCCTGCAGTGGGTGGCGTTTTTATCCCTTCTCGTTTTTAAAGCTAGGGTCTCACTATGTAGCCCAGGCTGGCCTGGAGCTTGCAGCAGTCCTCCTGCCTCAGCGCTCCCAGTGCTGCAAATACAAACGTGTGCCAGTAGGCCCAGCTGCCGTCCAGTCTGGGTGTCACCAGGGCCCTGAGACCCAGTTCCTAGGCTTTTCCTCTGTGCCAGCAGGAGGCGCTTCCAGTTCCGAGACGGGAAGCCCCGCACGCGTGCTCCGCGCTGAAGTCCCGGCCCGACCCTTGCGGCTTCACCCCTGCAGAGGGCGCTGCGCACAAGTTTCGCTTCTCCCAGCACAGTTCGCCAGCACAGCTGCTCTGAGCAGGAGGAGGGCACCTGGGCGTCTGGAAAACTGTGAGCGCACCTTGGGGTTCAGGTCTGAGCTCCGCCAGCCCGCCTGGGCCCCAGAGTGATCCCCACCTCGCCACAGTCTTGCCAACACTGCTCCTCCCTTTCAAAACTGCAGAGCCTGCTCTGGAGGCTGCTGGGGCTCCCTGCGTTGGATACATAATCCCAATGCAACGCCAGGGACAGCAGGGGACGGCGGGTCTCAGAGGAGGAGCTACATCAGGAGGGACTCCCACTGCCTCGGTACGTCGTTCCATGCCCTGCTTGCTGTGTGCACAGGAAGCCCGGGCACACGCAGGAAGGCGCAGGAGTTGAGCTTCGGTTTAAGCCACCGCGAGGGCACCGTGTCACCATGCTCAGCACAGCCCATTCTGAACGTGTGTCTCGGAGAAACTTAAAAGCACAAAAGCGGGAGGTGTTCACGGCTCTTCAGCTTCCTCCTTAGCTGGTGTGGAGGTCAGGGCGAGTGGCAGCTTGGCTGGGCGTGGGATCCACCAAGGGCTTCGAGGGGGCACTTCTGGGTGTGTGGGAGATCACGGAGGGGTGACCTTGGGGGCTGAATCTGGCCCCAGCCCCTTCCTCTCTGGAGCTGTCCCCGCTCTGCTTCCCGGCCACCATGAACTGTGCAGGCCTGCCACACAAGGCCCTTCTGCCATGATGTTCCTGCCCTGGAGCAGCAGCCATGGACTAAGGGCCCTGAGACTGCGAGCTGGTGACACTTTCTGCCTTTAACGTCTGGGGTTCGATCATCGTGTCCAGCAGCATGAGAGCTGCCAAATATGCTTGCAAAACCGAAACACGCACATCACACTTCCAAAGCCTCCACACGGGGCCAGGCCCACAGCACTACACCAGGTAGTGACCCGGGGAGCCGCCCACGGTGTCCTGGGCTGCGCTGGCTCCTTCAGGCCTCCCAGCTCGCTTCCTCCCTCCTCACAGGCCTGTAGCGCAAGGCCCTGGATGCCCGGCTCTGCCCACTCACTGCGCTGCCTGGTGCACACCAGCCCTCAGCAGATGCCAGCCCCCGTGGACAGGCAAGGCCCTAGCTTCTAGCTTTGCTCCCCTGTGCCTGAGGTCTATAGAACACAGATAAGCATTTGCTGTGTGTGTGGAGACCAAACCCAGGGCCTTCAACTTGAGCTGTATCCCTAGCACTTTGTCCTTTTTTGAGAAAGGGTCTCAATGAATCACTAAGCTGCCTAGCCTGGCTCAAACTTGACATCCTCCTGCCTCAGCCTCCCAGAGCACTGGAATTACAGGTGTACACCAAGTACCCCTTTTAACATCGGTTTTGTTCGTGCTGCTGAGGGGGCATGTGTGCTCCACCACTGAACCACACTCGCAGCCCAGGGGGGTCTGCATGCTCCGCCCGAGGCTGCAAGCTGCCCACCTCAGCCAAGGCTCTGCTTCTGTGTTCACCGTCAAGAAAGCAAAGGGCTTGAAGTCCCAGGAAACCTCCAAGAAGAGCCCAGTGGGAAGCATCACTCCCAGCCAGTCCTCCTCATGGGAAAGGAAACAGAAGTGGCCCAGCTGTGCTGCCCTGGAGACACGCAAAGGACATCAGATCGCAAAGCCGGACACAGGGGTGGTGCGGTGACAGCGAGGCTTTCAAAGGCATCCGCGGCACCGCCCTCCCAAGGGCACGTGCTTCCAACAATCCAAATCCAGTTTACACAAAAGGCGAAGTGTGACAGATGATGTTTATGCTTGATTCATGCGTTACTGCTTCCAATAAAGGACTGCCTAAAAAGATGTTTTAAATAAAGAAACAAGATAAGCACTAATAAAAAAATATGGACAATAAGTCCAAAAAAATTCTTGCTGAGGTCAAGCTGCCTGGTGGGTTGTTGATAACTCAAAGCAATTTCCCTTCAGGACTAAGTTTTGCATAAAATGTGAGGTGTTCTTTGTTTTGTTTTGTTTTGGAGACAAAGTTTCACTCTGTCATGCCTTTCCAGGTTGGCCTCAAGCTCACAGGGAGCCTCCTGCCTCAGCCTCCCTCATGCTGGGGCGACAGGCATGCATCACTGTGTCCACCAAAATCTGAATCTTATTACCATTCAAAACCTTTTCTAGGGGCTGGAGAGATGGCTCAGTGGTCTAAAGCACCTACTTAGAACAAGTTCAGCAAATCACAGGGACCGCGGTTCGATCCCCCAGCACCACATGCCAGCCAGCCCCACCCCCTGGTGGGCTGAGCTGGCCACACACACACACACACACACACACACACACACACACACAAATTTAAAAAAATAAATAAATAAATAAATAAAGAGTAAAAAAAAACCTTTTCTAGAATAAGATCTTGGGTTGTTAATACTCTTATGAGTTTGTTTTGCTGCTTACTTTTACCTCAGAGGCTGACTCAATCGCTGCCAGGCTGGAAGTGGTTTGAACACGGCTGTCCCACACGCACCCGGGGCAACAGGAAACAGAGCCCGCTAAGCCAGCCTGGAAACAGTAGCTGCGGTAACAACTGCCTGTTCCGCAGACCATTTACTCACTCAGTGATTATGAAATCAGCACGTCACAGCAGGCCTGTCATGCCCGCGCTCAAAGCTGAGGCAGGTGGATTGCCACAAACTCAAGACCAAGTTGAACTTCATAGTGAGACTGTCGCAAAACACCAAAGCAAGGGGTGGGGTGATAGCTCAGCGATCTAAGCGCTTGCCTGGCAAGCACAAGGTCCGGGGATCGAGCCCTGGCACCACATGCCGTGTCAGCCCCAGAACCCCGGGTACACCAGGCCGGCCACAAACGGGCATGGTGGCGCACACCTGTAATCCCAGTGCTGGGGAAGCTGAAACGGGGATCGCTACAAGTCCGAGCTGGGTTGTAAAACCCTGTACCAAATAAATAAAAGATAAAAAAAAAAAAGAAAGAAAACAAGTGACATTCTTCCCTACAATGAATAATATACCTATTTATTATCACAAAATACATTATTTTTAAGGAAATAACAATTCTGCCAGTGTCCCAGCTCTGGCTTACTTAACTACATAATCAAGTTCACAGGTCTTTAGGAAAAAAAAAAGGCAGTTTCTTATCTAAAGAAAGAGTTGGTGGGCCAGGGAGATGGCTCAATAGAATAAGCCCTTGCCTGGCAAGCACAAGGGCTTAAGTTCAATCCCCAGTTTCGCAAAAAAAACAAAATAATAATAAAATAAACTAAAATAAAGAGTCGGAAGGGCATAAACAAACTTATTTTTTTAATAAGTTTCCAGCTCCTCCTGAAGCTGCACCAGTCCTCCTGCCTCAGCCTCTTGAGTGCTGGATCACAGGTCTGTGCCATCGTGTTTGGCTAAACAAATTTATAACACAAAATCAATCAATCAGTGAGGAACAAATTGTACCTTTTAAGATCTATATCTCATGAACAGCTTTATGGATTTCTCACAAAAACACTCCATGAAATTTCAAGAAAGAAATCTAAATTGTGCGCTAATAGTGAATTTAAAGAATTACATCTCCTGGGCCGGGGAGCTAGCTCGTCAGTCTAAGCACCTGCTTGGCAAGTTCAAGGACGATGGTTCAAATCCTGGTATCCCCTGCCACGCCAGCGTGGAAACCCTGGGCGTAACGTGCCGGCCACCAAAACCAGCTATGGCACACATGCTTGCATCCCGGCGCTGAGGAGGCTGAGCCAGGAGGATCACTATGAGTCCGAGCTGCATAGTGAGACCCTGTACCAAATAAATAAATAAAAGATTTTAAAAATATATTTTAAAAGAAAGCATTACACCTCCTTTTAGTTCTATATCTCCTTCTCCTTCTTCTCCTTCCTCTCGCTGTACCCGGGCCCCTTGCACCTCCTTGCAGATCAGCCGCCTATGAGTGATCCGGTCTGCAGGTCGAGGAGCAGCTGGGACCTCAGTCTGGTCCATTAGGACAAAACCTGTTTTGTCTCCCATAAGGTGTGGTGGAACAGGTCCCGTCGGCCCGCAGTGGATTGCCCGAACCCACGCAGAGCCACTTCCTCTCCAGTTTGGGCTCCACCCAGCCGCTGTAGGGGGCCCTGGGCCAGCAGCAACAGTGAGAAGTCCCGAGCCCCCAGCCCCACTCAGCCTCCAGAGTTAGGATCAAAAGCACAGCGAATGTTTAAAGTTAAACAGTGCCTCACGGGAGGGGATGCACTGCCTCTGAGCTGCCCCCTCGCTCGCACCCAGCCCGCCGTTCCCAGTGCTTTCTGCGGCAGCTCCACAGGCCTCTTCCGTGGGTGTCCGGGTATAAGGAGGGTGAGGATGTGGCCGGCACTGTCTTTTAAGGTATTTGC